TAGCTAAAAGTTTATACAAAAATCCAAATAAAAAAATAATTCACAACCATTAAAAACTAACCAAGGATTAAAACAATGTTGCAGCCTTTCCCTAATATTATTTAACATCTATATAGACAATATTCTTAGAGAATGGAAATTAATAGTAAAACAAGGGATCAGATTGAACGGAAATAATTATATCAATACTCTGCTATTTGCTGAAGACCAAGTTATTATGTATGAAAAGGAAAATGATCTACAAATGACACTGCATCAATTAAATCTAATGTGTAACAATTATAACATGAAAATATGAAAACAAAAAATGAAGGTCATAGCTTTTAAACAAGTCTATCCAATTAGAACAAAGATATGCCTGGAAAACCAAACAATAGACCAAATATCACATTTCAATTATCTGGGATGAGATATAAGTTACGACCGAAGTCAAGATATATAAAATAAATCGCACAAGTTCCAATATATATGCAACATGCTACATAGAACATTAAGAAATAAGGCTAGAAATGACACTTAAAACTATGGCAACACCAGTAGTCCTTTACGGGAGTAAAAATTGGATTCTCTCAAAAAGAAAAAAAATGAATATTCAAGCTACAGAGATGAAATTTTTAAGGAGAGTAAAAGGTTGTACTTGGCTAAACAAACAAAGAAATGATGATATAAGAAAAGTGTTCAGGCGGCGAAATAGTCGAAGAAAAGTTGGGAGCATTTCAATACAAGCTGCAACGAAACATCACCTCTTCTATCAGTAGTTTTTTTTCAGACAAGTGTTCTCTGTACAAACAAAATTAAACATTCCCTTAAGAATTTCGTGATTTTTACTCAGCTTTCTGCATTAGCTTGTAATAATGCGAGCAGGCGTCTGAGATAGAAAATCGGCGTCTTTCTAGTATTGCAACAATGGCAATTTTACGCAGGGCTGCCCTGGAGCTACTGCGATATTTCGGTAACGCTCCGAACTAACAGGAAACGGCTGACAATCTACATCAAGGAACTTTGTACGAAAGAAATGAGTATTTGGTCAACAGAGAAGAAATTCGCGCGGCTATTTGGGGAAAATCCGAAGCGCCAAGTTTGAAATGTATAGTACTTGCCTCTGAAACACCTTCAAAGAACATCAAAAATGCCTCATTAAAAAACAAGTCGCCAAATGTGAAGCAAATTGGCGGTCAATGTGCCAACAAAAAGAATTAAATATATTTAGTCTAAATGATGGTATACAACTATACAAACAAGACTGTAAAAACATTTAGAAAGAATGTAGCACAATAGGCTACCTAAACAAGTGTTGCAGTACAACCCAACAGGAAGAACAAGTGTAGGAAGACCACACAGAAGATGGTTTGATATGTGAAGACGGAACAGGCAGCCGCCTAAACCCTGAAGTGCAGAAGAAGAAGACATTCTCAGGACCCACTATCAGTCCAACTGCAACAGTATATTGCTGCACATTGATTCCTGTCACGGCGTCAATATTTATTACACTTTCTTTCTTTGGGTACGTACTATTCTGTAGTGTGTTAGCATACGATATGTGTTGTTGATCTGTCGTGGCTTTGTTGGTTATCATAACAATTGGCTTATCCATTTTCACAGGTTGTTAATGGCAGGCTGATAAACTGCCCTCACTTCTTGTAACCTTTCCTATTCTATAACTAATGCTGCACTAAACCTTCACAAACGGTTTGCACAGAAAAATAACAAACAATTTTCACTTAACGTGTTCTTATTGAAACTCGCCGCACTTCACCTTACGGTGGTTCGAACCCGACTCCTCCTGACAATTGAAGTGTTTTTAAGTTGAGAGTTAAGTTAATCGAGTAATTTATTTGATTATATTTGATTCACATGGACATTGATTCATAATCATCTTCACAGGCACACTGATTCACATTCATAATGATTCATATTAATTCTCATTTATATGTTAATTAGTGCGAAACTAATGCATTTTCTCGTAAATCGTTTCGTGACAAAATACATAAAGCTAATTTTTAATTTATTTAGACATTTTCTTGCCTACAGTTAAAATAATGTATACACGAGGCGCATCCAGAAAGCACCTTCACTAGAACGTCAACTAAAAGCAAAAAAAAGAAAAACTAATATATAATTAGCCATGTACCAAAACGTGGGATCAACATTTGTCAGATGGACAGCCATTTGTAACTCTGCTTAAATATGATACACAGACGGAAATCGCCGTGGAGAGGAGGCGTGCGAGATCCAGGCTTTACGGTGGATGGTCCTCCCAGCGGAAATTCTGCAGATCTGTTGTGAGCCGAGCGGTCTAATGAAGGTGGAAGACAACTGCACTCAGCATATCGCACCGCTTGTTCTTAGAAATATTTCGCAAATTCTGCAGGGTTGCTTAGGAACGTATCATGTACCTGTCAAAGGCTGGTATTACTCGCGCAACTTTTCTTGAACGATGGATTCAAGAAATGCGGGTAGAGTGGGGGTATTAGTTACGAAATCGGCCACTAGATTTTATGAAGCAATACCAATCTCTGGAGAATCAGTAATGTCTTCTCAACGTTTTCTATAAATTGCTTTCTAACTTTTCCAGAAGTTGAAGGTATCTCCTGTGATAAATCTTTACCTCCTTCGCTCATTTCTTTAGATTGTTTGGAGAAAATAACGGATAGAAGTTCTTGCCTTCAAAAGAAAATTTATTTATATTTCGCACCAGTGATGGTGTATTTGGCATGTTGTCATCAGTGCTCGCTGGAAGCTTTTGCCTTCATCTTTTTATTGGGCCAGAGAGGGGGAAGCAAGGTTGTCGTTCAAGACAAGTGGCGCGAGTAATACCTATCCCAGACAGCAGACGTCTACAACACAGACACACAAATGTTGATCCTATGGTATGACAAATCTCTATTCTCGTGGTGATTATGTGGGGAAAATAGTTCAACATTGCGCTGTCTCCGACGCAGTAAACTTTACTTTCTCTCACCTACTTCGTAAGAACAAAAAGTATTGTAATCGTGCACCGCAAAACGGCGAATGTTCGACAGAAAAACTCTTATTGCAGGGCTCTGGAAACGAAAAAGTCGATAAATAGTGTTCCTATATATAGTAAATTACTTCCTTAAAAACGTTGTGCAGGCGGAATCCATATTTTGTGGGTCCTTGAGACTGAAAAATCAATTGACTGCGAAACGTCTGTCCGACCGTCCGTGATCAAAGCAAGCGCCTAAACCGGTCATCCGCTTTTTCTCCAAAATTGAGATTTTCCAATTGATTTAAATGAACTCAAGGCCTATTGAGTTTGAAATTAAAATTTTGATTTTGGAGGCTGCTTTATATGAAGCCTGAACAATATTTTAAACATTTTCTCACAACGGCCCAAATATTTTGTATGAAACTTTGTTGTATGTGTTATGTTCGTTGAAATAGCCGATTTTTCAAAAAATCAATTTTTTTCGGCATATTGCTACAACACAATATTGAAGATTGATATTTTTTTAATGTAATCTGTTTTTCAAAGAGATCTTGAAATAACGTCATGTACAACTTTTTTTAAAATATGAGTATTGCATGAAATATAGGCAAACATTTAATAATTTTTAAACTCTTTTTCTCAAAAAGTGCACCAATTTATTTTTCTTTAAATTTTCTCCTCGTGTGTATTGAAGGAAGGTAAGAAAATTGGTGCTGGTCTTATTTCCGGCGAACGCTCTGTACTTTCGAAAATTGCACAATTTACATTTCAAAACTACAAAATTGAAGATAAAGATTTTTGTCTGAAATAAAATCTGTTCTAATAATCAGCTCTTTAAAACGCAGTTGTTGAACTCTCTGAACTTTTTGAAAATTGCAAATGTAGAAATTATGCGAGAAAGTATCTGTTGCAGCACTACTTGTTTTTAAAGAAATTATAATGTATATTCGTTGATGATCTAGGGAAACTTACGTTATGAATGCGCCTTGTATTTAGTTGGATGTTTCATAAACCTACTTTTTAATCAACAGATTAAATTTTGTTGGCACCTTGTATCGTAAAAAGGTGTTAGCTACTACTATTGGACGTTCGTTAAATGGTATCATACAATGCACCACTTTTTTAAAAACACGTAATTTCAAAAAAGGAAATTTTTCACGAAAGAGGAAAAACTTATTCTACCTCAAATAGTTTTCAGGTAGTCTTAATAAAAGCGATAACCTTAATTGGAATTAGTTTTGATTATTGGATAAGGTTGCAATTATTAAGAGTTGTTTAAAAAATTCGGCACGAGCGTTTTTAGAACGTACGACTTTTCAAAATTACTCTGCAGAGCCACAAACGTTTTTGGCAAACTCAAAGGTCACTCAATTAAATTTCTGTGATTTTCACTAAGTTTCGTTTCGTATTGCATAAATATCGAGTAAAGTGAGTCTTTCGATTTTTTTAAAATATGGATAATGTCCGGATGAATGCAATTTCAATCGGGGAGACCCGAGTGTTTGTCTATTAGTTTCTGAACTGTTTCGATGTAGATCTCTTTGGATATGTCGAGAGAGATCTACAAATATTTGGTATTAGGATTATATCAATTATAAGATACGTCGATGTTGAAGATATCTCCTTGGAATTGGAATTCAAGGGCGGTTTTATTCAATTTGCTCATGTCTGATGTACAATAAGTTCTTGTAGTATATTTGAACGACTATTTTCGTGGTAAACCACAATTCCGCGGTTTGCGACTGCTGCCACCGTCCATGCTGTCCATTCTGTCGCAGAAAATGGTAGGTCCAAAAGTCTCCCTAAGAGGAACAGGCTTTAGCTCGATTGAAGTGTCAAGAAGCCGTCGAGTATTAGCTACTTAGGGCGTTAACATGTGGCAATACGTGCAGTTTTCCCTTCCACCTACCCACCCAAGCGTTAAAGGCCACTAAAATGAGAAGCTTCTCAAGTTAGTAACAACTTGGGTATCGATACGTGCTTTTAACTCTACCTCCTGTACCTAGTTTTAAAAACCCTTATATGTTTGATATTGTGCATGTTTTTATAGCTGTAGACTTGAAATTTTTTGGTGAAGCAAAAGTTCAATGGTCCGAAACAAGTGGTGACAGCACAACATATTACAGTAATAATGACGTTTACTTAAAAAATTCAGTGACTCTTGAAGGAGGGACAAGTAAGTGTAATATGGTACGATTTCTTTCAATTATAGAGATTTAATACTTTTGATGATAGTATTTAAGCTAATATATACCTTAAATGTTTATAGGTTCAGATATCTCTTTACCTCCGGGAACACATTCTTATCCTTTTAGATTAATATTGCCGTTGGACCTTCCTTCTTCGTTCGAAAGTAAACATGGGTACGTACGCTACACTGCAAAGGCAGCAATACGACGTTCTGGGAGATTCGACCACCATTGTAAATCTGCATTTACAGTTATTTGTCCTTTGGATTTAAACAATGAACCTGACGTACAGGTAAGTAGCTGTTATTTCGAAAAATTCTAACGAAAAGTATTCTGCTTTGCGAAGAGCATTTTTATTCCTTTTTTACGTTTGTGGTGGGATACGGTTTATCACGTCCTCCAGTACATGTCACTGTAGTTGTCATTTGATGTTCACACATGTTGTAACACAAGCAACCGAGTTAATTTTAACTTTCATAATGGGATATATTTATAATGACATTCGTAATGGGGTATATTGGATGGCGTTTATTTCTGGATTTTCCATTCGTGAAATTATCCTTGCTTGTCTCTGAGATAATAGAAATTTAAAAAAATATATAAATAGTTTCCGTTCATTTACTATTTCATTCATTTAAAAAAAAACTAACGTACTAACTTCGCAGCAAAGATGACACATTTTAGCGAGTTTTCTGCTTGACTGCTCTCCGAAGCATCTATACCTGTTTAAATTCTTAATGAAGTATGAAAGGATCAATTATGGTTTGGTTTGGTTGTAAGTCTTCATTTAAAAGAAAATAAAACATTTAAGAATGATCTTAAAATATCTTGGAGATGTGGCAAAAAATAATGTATATATTAGAAACAAAAGTGTTCCATAAAGAACGCGCTAGAAGAACTTTCGTAAAAACAAAACAATGCAAACTCAAAAACAGTTCCATTTATGGCAAAAATAGCGCTTTTAAGAAGAACTGGTCAAAAACGTGTACCCATTGTTGGCAGTACCCTTCGCTGCTTGCGCGCTTTGTTCTCAGTGCTCACGGGCTAAGATTTATTGATATAGACAGAAATGCGATATAATTTTATTACATAACCATTACAGAGGATCGAGAAAGTATGTGGTGTTTTAGCTCAACTAAATTTGTGTTGGAACGTGTCTAATACAAATGTCATTCACACTAGTGTTACTAAACTTCTAAAATATAAATTATGTTTGATTTAATGTAAGATTGCATTTAGAAAAATTCCCCTATTCCTTAATCTTAGGATTGATGCAATAGACTGGCTTCAATCAAGATTTTTCTAATAGCGACTTGCCACATTCTTCGCTACATATAATGAAATACAAAATAATTCATTTAATTTTCTATTATTTTAACAGCTCATTCTTATTTCACCAGGAACCTGTGCAGAAAAAAGAAGAAAAGAGATTATTCTTCGGTCTTGGCGGTTCCCCTATCAGACTGGAGGTATCTCTGCCGTACTCAGGATACGTACCAGGGCAGAAATGTGAAGCAGATTTTGAATTCGAAAATAGAACTACAAACAATGTGTCACTTAAGGCTTATATTGTTCAGGTAAGTAATCAATAGGTCGAGATCGAGCAGTAGACACTTAAAAGGGATTGGTTTACTGAAACATGTTTTTCTAATATAATGTACTATCGGAACCCGGCACACGTTGTTCTGTTCCCCATCTCCCTCTCCCTCTGCCTTACTCGCTCCGTCTCTCGCGCGCCGTCTCTCGCTCCTTTTCTCTTTCCGCCTTTCGAACGTTTTTGTCATTTTTTAATAAATTGTATTTACTGAAGCACAAATTACGCGAAAACTACTAGTTTGTTCAAAAACCTACAGGACATTTATTTAAAGGTCTAATATTTTAGAACATATTTGATTTATGGCAAAAATATCCCCACTTTTGGTATTATTTTTTAGTTGGAATGTTCAAAAATATAGAAAGTTTTTCTTTTTTTACTTTCCCTTGCTGTACACGAGGATACGCTATATATTAAGATTTCAACGAAAATGATAACGTGGCCATTTTTGAACACTCTCTACAATTTCGAGAACAAAGTTTATTAAAAATATGTAGCTACTTTTGAGAAAATTTTGAAAATGTTGAGGCTTTATTTATAAAACAACCGAAATTAAAATATCCATTTTATATATCACAGCGTGGTGTTCGTTCAAATCGATCGGATAATATCAGTTGTGGGGAAAATAATCTGATCGGTTTTGGCCGCAGCTTTGACTACAAGTTGATGGGCGGACAGACATTTTGCCGTCAATCAATTTTTTGATATTAAGGACAAATAAAACGTGAATTCCGAGTTCACAATATGTTTGAGAAAGTAATTTACTAAAGAGTAAGATTTATCCACTTTTTCTTTACCAGGGCCCTACAATAAGCGTTCTTTCTATCAAAACAATCGCCGAAAACAATACTTTCTCATGACTACTTATATAGAAAAGCGAGAAAGTAAAAAGAGATCCACTGAAAGGGTTGTGATTTCCATTACCATTTATCTAATTCTCTGTTAATAAAACGTATCACTATATTAACTCTTAATACGAAGCACGTGTAGTGTTACTTGTAGATCAAGTGCTAAATGGGGCGAGTGTTCTTTGCAGGCACAGTTCCGGCTATCCCTTTCAAGATGAGTTCAAGAATTTATTTGTGATTTACAACCAACTTACCGTTGCCTATCTGGATGGCCGAGGTTGCTACAGCGGGTGCCGGTTCAGCGCCTTGACCGGAAGGGTCACGGATTCGAATCCCGACGCAGGCACGGTTGCTTGTGCCTTGTCTTTCATGTATGTGTATTGTCGCGGAAGGCCTTGTAAGTCTGCTGACCACAGACCGAGGAACCCGCAAGTGTGTTTAGTGTAAAGGGTTAATGTGTGTCCCCATGACGGACATGGCGGGAACCGGGCGCGGATAATCGAAAATCGGCATCCCCTGAAGCTGCAAAACGCCCCCGGAAAAAAAAGAAAAAATAGAACTGACTGTTAGTGACGTTCTTGTGAACAGATGACGTTCCCGATACACGAATACTAATGTATAGTGAATATGTAAGCACTATAAAGCTACTTTCTTCTTTTTAACAATATTTAAAAGGTGCAAAAAGTTCACACAAAATATTGATTATGTGTAATATTTTAGAGGTAAATATAGCCTATGTAACAATTTTTTGAACACAAAAATAATTTCAAAGCAGTTGAAACACTTTAGATTTAAGTTACTTTGTAGTAAGTTGCATAAGTAATGTTTTAACTTCTTCCAGATAATTAAGCTCAAAGCCAAAGGTTATGGGGAAAAAATTGAGAGAAATTCAATCTGCAAAAAACCAATTGGCGAATTTTCTTCACAAAATTCTATGAAATCTGGTGTTGGATTGCAAATACCCGTTGTTCCGAATTCATACCTGCGCTATTGCAAATTCATCGATATTTCTTACATGTTTGAGGTGAGTTTGTGGGACCAATTACAACTGTAAAAGATTTCCGTACATTGTATCTCTTCCTATTCATTTCAAAAATCCTATTCCCGAAGCAAATGTTATTTACGCAATGAATAAAACTTATGTTCCCATTTTATTCGTGAAAAAAACTTGTGCCAATTTGTGAAGAGAAGCACGTATTCAGATAGGTTAGTTCTCCTTCAATTAAGAAAGTGCTTTCAATATAGTTACTCGTATTATGTTTGATTCTGGCGTGTTTCCTGTACTCTGGAATTCAGTTCATTATAACGTATATCTCTATGAAAATCACGAAAGGGTTTCTTGTTCACAGATCAAAGGACGCGTATCTGGAATGCATCGAAATATGTGTGTCAGTATACCAATTGTGATAGGTTCGATACCTCTGAGAACACAATTTAATCATATCCAATGGAAGCAATATCACCCTCTTCCAAAGAATGAGAAACTTGGAGAATTACCACATTCAGAGGAATATCAGGCAGAAACGTCTTCAACAGCGACATCTTCTAGCTCTAATCCCTTTTTCAACTACCCAGAAATGCGTAAGTAAAATAGACGAATTCTTAATGTAAAAGTAATTTACGGAGGCGATTTCTGTTGTCTCATGTCTTTAGTTTGGCATTATTGTTATTCCAAAAACAGAATCATAAAACTAGGACATCTTTATTTCAGCTCCACCCTCTTATGAAGAGTGTATTGAAGGAACAAACAATATACGAAATGAAGAAGACAATGAATATGTTCGAGGTGCCACGACATTTACTCCTCGATATCCGGTATATACTTTCAAATAATGCATAAGTGTGATATTCTAAAAATATTTTTAACTATTCTTGCAAGGTTGTCTCTTTGCACGGTCATCTTTAAAAACATCTCTGATTTTTTACGTACTTAAAAGAAGACAATTTCGTATACCGTGTTTGTTACACACGTATACATACTGATGTGTGTTTTTATATAATATATATATTTTATGCTAGGCTTTTTATGTATTATTGTTCATATTATTCAATAAACAATTAAATTATCAACATAAGATCTTCGTTTTACTTAAATATCATGGTTATTCAATTTCTAATTTAAGAATAGAATTCGTAACCTATTCCTATCTCAAGGTACGTGTGAAGATAAGGAATGTAATTAACATCTTATAAATCGTAATCTTTATCCAACGAGAGAATAAAATGACTGTATACATTAACCATACTATGTATATGTATGTATTTTATTGATCTTTAATGTATTATATTATTGTATTAGATGTATAATAAGTGTGAAGAATTTGCCACGGGACTTTATGCCCAAAGCAAATGAAATAAATTATCTCTCTAATGCATATAGTACATATAATATATATATATATATATATTATATATATATAGTATACATACATATATAGTCGATACAGCATTGCAGCAACAGGTCAATCAACTCAAGGCAAAATTACAAAGCGTGACCGACACTCAATCCAATGTCTCCGGCAATGGATCGTCAACGATGCCTATAACGCCGATCTTTATATCAAGAATGTTACATTTGATGGAAAAAATGAATTCAATACGTGTATTGTAATTTGTTAGTTCTTTACTTCAATTGGTGGAAATGGAAGATTCTATGTATAATTCTTTTTTCATTTTATTTCAACAAATCAAAAAGCATTCTTTCAATTGTACTGTTATTCATTTGTTTTTTCCTGTCACCGCCTTGTAGGGTTTCCTTTATTTTTTTCATTATGAAAGTCTTCAGCGGGGAGGGGGATAGCTCAGAGCCAGAGCGCTGGCCGCCTCGCACACAGGAAACGGGACTCAGCCTGGTTCGAATCCTCGACGCGCAGACGCTCGTTTGTGAAACGCGCACCGCACCCCAGCCTCACAGCATCCGCACCGTCGCACGCGCTACCGCCCGTCGCCGCCAGAGCGCGCGCGCACTACCGCCAGCCTTCGCCACCAGAGCGAGCCACCGCACGCGCTACCGCCAGCCTTCGCCGTCGGTGCGCGCCACACACGCTACCGCAAGTCTTCGCCATCAGAGCGCCACCGAAAGGTTGGCAGCCTGTGGGGGGAGGGGGTTTACCTCGGATGTTGACATCCGGGCTTTGACCCCGCCCATTTCGCGCGGGGGCTTTCTGGCCCGTTATAATTGGTGGTGCCGGTTGTTGACACCGGATGTTGTGGGTCTGGAACCGGAAGTGGCTTATCTTATCTACTTTCTGAGCCCGAACCCGCCAATTCCCCCTACTAAGGTAAGTAAAAATCTTGCTTTTCTGTATCAGCTCCAATTATCCCTGTCTATTAGTATCTGTCAGTACTACAGTCACTGCAACTCGTTGCGGGTTGTGCTGCAATCGGCTATCCGCCCACCTAATGTAAGCTGCCCTTGCGTCCGTCTATTCTAGGGCCGTGTATGCCGGGCTGTGTGTAAATTGGCATTCCCAAAATCGACTAGGTTGTGCAAAGCAGAGGTCTACACTTCACATGTACCTGGACGTCTTGCACTTCATGCTGTGTGACCACAAAATCACATGTCGTGACACTGAACGTTTATTTTTCACCAGCGTAGCATTGCACAAGTGACCCAACAGAAACAACTTTATTTGTGTTAATTCTCACGTTAATTTCATTAACTTCAATTCATTCGCAACATTTCATTCAGTTTCAGGTACAATTTTCATTAAATATTCTTCCTGTGTAAAAAAATATTTACATGCAATTTTGATACATCTAGCTTCCGTATGTTGCCTTCATTCATTAACATTTCCCTTCTTCCAACCAGTCCCGTCCTTCCACACCTTGTTCGACATTCTAACTTTTCTCTATAGACTCACTACCTCAAATATCCTGTCTGCTTTGGCTTTGGCTTTTTTTAGCCGCAAAATAACCTTGGAGAGAACCTTGGCAATTCCCCTTAATTATATATTATGCTTTTTATCTATTACATAAAACTCGGATTCAGTTAATGGAATTCCTTTAGTCTTGGTCTGGCTTCACTGTTGTCTAGCACGTTCATAATAATATGTCTATAAAATATTTTTGAATCGGAGAGGAGGCATTGTCGCCGTTACTATGAATACGTTATACCTTTTTCTCTCTCGTACCAAACAGTACGAATGGAATGTTTCGTTTGATTACCATGTTAGTGACAATTCAGTAGCTATTTCAAGATATGAAACACTATTCTTCAATCATTATGCTGCTAACTATAATAAGTTTTTATCTGAAAATCGTTGAACTGGTAAGCTCTCAAAATCAATTAATGAATTATAACTACAGTAATGCATTTGAACATACTCTGTTAGATAGGTACATACATCATACTATTACTGCTTGATCATTTTGTAATGAAAAGCTTAACAAACATGAATCTTTTAAAAGATTTGCAGTTACATGCAGAAGTAATTCCAGAGTTCACTGAAACTCACGGATGAAAATAATCTGTTTAGAAAATGACGTTCCAGCATGGAATGGAATGTGTTCTGAAAAATTAACACTTTAAGCCAGGTTCTATCAGATGAAATTGACATGCCATTACGTCATATTGAAAGGAAATCCTAGAAATGTTGACAATGTACTAATATAAACATGATTCCGAATTCCGATGAATTTTAAGTCGATAATTCCAGAAGTTTATGGTAGATTTTAAGTAACCTTTTCTTACAAACAGAACACAGACTATAATTTTAATAAAGGGTATACCCGGATAAGATGGTAAACATTTCTCCTCAACCGCATAACATATGAGTACTTACACTATAACTCTAACATACAAATTATATTTTTGAAAGGTTTCATAGCCCCGACCCACTACCCACACCCATCTACAGGCAATACGGGTTTTTTTTATTCGTCACCTTAGCACTATTTTATCTTATTGAAATATATGAAAAATAAGAAAATAATTCATACTATCAGAAAAACATTTTTAATATTTTCTCAGCGGTTAATTCAAACGCAAAAATGTTTTTGAAAAAAGTTTAAAAAAATAATGTTTACTCTGTCTTAAAGCCCTGGAACAGCCTCGAAAAAATCTCAAAAGTTTCTTTCAAAACACAAATTGTTGTGAATTTATTTCATATTTTTTCGATTGCTGGGCTGCCGTTAAAAAAACATTTTTACCTTTTTCCCGCCTTTAAATCCCGTATACTTTAAATATATTTTGAAAACGTTTGAAACAGTTCTGTTAAAGCTTTCAAATCCTTAGTAATAAGCCTATCATACACTAAGGAAAGACCATAGGAAAGTAGGAAAAATGTGAGGAAATAAAGGGAAACAGGTTATACAGGGATTCACAAAAACTGTTTCATTGTGTCTTAGAACACCGGACAGGGCACGAAAAATCTCACTTTCTCTCAGAAAACTCGGAATTTTTTTCAATTGATGGGACATAGTTGAAATAAACTAAGACTTTTGTACTCAAGTACTTGGTCGTCTGATAAACGCCTAGGCACCTGCGACCTTTCTCCAGGAGGAAGGTCACAGAATGACGGCTGAACCGCTGGTACCTGTGCATGGGACAGGGCCAAGTAGTTACGGACTGCGGCAGCAGAAGCCTACGCTCTCACATTTGTATTTTTATTTTATTTAAGGTCGCATCAACTACAAGGTCATTAGCGACCACTATTGCGTGTAACGGAATGGTAACTATGTGGATGACACGGCGTGAAAGGACGAACACAATACAACCATGCCTGAGGCGGGACTCGAACCCGCGATTCTTCGGTCCGAGATCGCTACGGCACTTCTGCCTTGGCGATCTCGACCATCCGGTCCGGCATCTGTAGTTGTTTCAGACTAGTGGGGAAAAAATTGTTTTCCAAGGGATTACACAACTTTTTTTCTCTTTAGGTACGTATCTAAGAATTGATTCTTGTATACGTATAAAGGCGGCCGTAAAATAAATACCGTAAGTATATTCAATGAGGGACAAGTGCGAAAACTCTGAACTTTGTAAATAATAATTGTATGAAAACTGAAAATTGATTTAAAGTAGCATCCAACTGCGAACTCCCATCGCCCGAAATGTGTTTTGCAGTATTACTGTACTGTATTACTGTACTGTGTGACAATAACTATTCCAATATTACTGAGCGTTGAGTTTGAAATGCACAGAAAATAAAAATGTCCCTTTAATTTTATGGTGGAAGACAATTTCGGTATTTTCCTTCAAATTAATTTTACACATGATTTCGGCTTCTGCTCTTTTCTGTTCGTCCGTGCTATAGAGTGAGGGCACCCAAGAGAACTAAATCTACAAAACTGTAAAAGAATGATCTAAAATGTCGTATTTCGTAGAATATTGTCTAAGAAAATAATGCCGGTACAATCTGTCTCCTTTCATTTCCACACTGTCCCCATCTATCCTTCACTATCACCTGAACTGCCCTCATCATTTCTCCATTTGTCATCAACCCGCACCCCAAAACACGATTTCTGAAAGAATTCACCTTGACTAAGAAAATGCGTGCCTCCATGGGTAGGAGAACCGAGTTTAAAAGGCTTAGGTTGTTTTACTTCCGAGTTATTCGAAATCATAATATGTGTTGCAATAATATTTTTTTTTATTTGTCATAATCTGCAAACTTCTATTATTTTTCTTCTGAAATCTGCTCGATGTAGAACTGGGGTGCAATTCTCTTCTCACAAGGTTTTGTGTCGATGTTTCTTATAAACTGCCAAAAACTATCGTCTCTTCTTAGCGTATGATATAGAAAGTATTAGAATGCTTTAAAAACATGATAATTTGTTCCACATAACAAAGTTAAAATATTACTAGATGCTACAACAATGTATTCAAATCTATAATAAATTCTCAAATAAATCCACAGAACTGTTGCAGACATTTTCAAAGAGTAGGGGATTTAAAGACAGGAAAATGATTTTTAAACGGCAGCCCAGCAAACGACAAAGTCTGAAATAAATTCAGAATAATTTGTGCTTTGAGAGAAATTTTTGAGATTATTTTCGAGGTTCCAGGGTTTTAAGACAGTAAAAATTAGTTTTTGTTACAATTAAAAAAAATTGCGTTTGAATTTATCGCTGAGGAAATATTACTTTTTTTTATAGTATGAATTATTTTCTTATTTTTCACATTTTTAAACAGATAAAATTGTGTTAAGTTGACGAAAACAATTAAAATACAAAAAAACGGTTTTGGCTGTATAGGAGTGTAGTTGGTAGAACGGGGGCTAAGAAACGTTTAAAAATTGTATTTTTATGTTAAGGGTTATAATGTAATTACTGTCATTTGGTTGAGGGGAACTTTTTACCATCTTATCCGGGGGTACCCTTAGTGAGAAAAAAAACTTCGTTATTTGTTTAGCATTTCTAATATATCAACATTTATTTTTAAAAATACAAGAGAGGGACTGATTTGTAAAGTGTGATTATTCGTTTTACAGGCAACTTGCTGTTTTGTAACAGTAATATTCTTTCTCAATATAAAAAATGGAACCGTCGTTGAAGATTTCGTCATTGGGGGCTTTGCCCTCGCATTTACAATTCTCGCCTTCGCCCAAGTCATTGGACATCTGGAAGGCAGTCCCATTTTCAGGAGTCTTGTGAGTACAAAGAAACCGTTGAAAGAGTTGTCTTATATTAGAACATTATTATTAAAGACGTCTCCACTTAGAATGAACTCACCTTTTCTATTTATGTATGAATCTATAGTTTTTGTCAAAACCGACTTAATGGCAGGAACATACTTTCATACAATTACAGAACACGTTGTAGGAATATTATTCATCAGATGTCAGTATCAACAGCTCACAACAAGACATCCACATGTACGTTATTTCACAATTCATGGGCAGAAGACACTACACAATTAAAATCAATACACTAATTTAAGAACCAAATAAATATTTTCTACAAACTTGTTTTTATACAATTGTAGACTAATTACATTGGCCTTCATTTGAATAATGGCATATAATGCATAAGGTAACACGTGAACTGTATAATTTTAGGTCTAAATATGCCTATAACAAGTAAATGTCCTTCAGCTTTTGGGTCAATAACCTCCTTCTCCTACATCCTAGACCCTTAATACCAGATTTTGTGTCAGTGTATCAACAAAACTTATTTATTCTATACGTAATATACAAAATGAGCCCTTTTTGGACGTTCTATTTTATTTTTTGAAGGTTCCGTCACTTCCTAGCGCTGGTTCAGAAACAGGTTCCAGTGTTTAGGTTTTTTCATTTTTAAAACATCGATTTAAAAAACAATTTTTATATTTTGATAATTG